GTGCCGGGCGATGAGGCCGGTGGCCCCGGCGGCAACGTCCAGCTGCAGCTCCCTGCGGGAACGCGGCCTTGGATCCCAAAGCAACCTGTTTCCGGCTGCGATCTGGGGAATTCGGTGGGATTCCCACTGGAAGGGCCACGGTCAAGATCTGGTTGCTGGAAAGTTGCTGCGTGGGTGGGTTTTTTCCCCCTTTTTAACCTATTTTCGCCAGTCCCAAGGGATTCGCTGGGAAATCCGCCGGAGCGGCCAGCGGCCCTTTCCACCTCGCCGTAAATCCAGCGCCGCCCTCTCCAAACCGCACGTTTCGGCTGCCTGGAAATCCAACCGCGGGGCCGCCCAGGGAAGCGCTTCCCGATGCTCCGGGAACGCCGCTGCTCCCGCCGGATTGTCCATCCCGGAGCCGGACCCGCTTGAGCGTCGGGAAGGGGACGGCGCAGCTCCACACATGGAATGGGAAGCCTCGATTTTCTGCAAATCCCCTCGATTTTGCCCAAATTCCAAAGTCAACCTTGTGCAAATGACGACCGCTATTTTGTGCCGAAGTCACTGTCCACAATTCCGGGCAAATTCTGCTCTCGATTCCTTGTAAATCCTATCCTCGATTTTCCCCGAATTCCATCCTCGATTTCATGCAAACCCTGTCATCAATTTTCTGCAATCGAAGTCACTGTCCACAATTCCAGGCAAATTCTGCTCTCGATTCCCTGCAAATCCTATCCTCGATTTTCCCTGAATTCCATCCTCGATTTTGTGCAAACCCTGTCATCAATTTTCTGCAAACCCCATCCTCAATTTTGTGCAACCCCCATCCTCGATTCCCTGCAAAACCCATTCCCAATTTTCCGCGACCCTTAGCCTTGATGTTTTGCAAAACCTGTCCTCAATTTTCTGCAAATCCGTCCCCAGTTCCATGCAATCCCCATCCTCGATTCCCTACAAACCCCATCCTCACTTTAGAGCAACCTCCTCCCTCAATTTTGCCCCAATTCCATCCAGGATTTCCCGCAAACCCCATCCTTGCTTTTTTGCAACCCCCATCCTGGGTTTTCTCCCCAGCCCATCCTCAGTTTTGTGCAATCCCCATCCCGCTTTCCCGCACATCCGACGCTCTCCCGCGGCGGATCCAGCCGGCAGGCCGGGGAGCCTCCTTGGCCGGGCGCCCCGGGAACGCGGCCGTGGATCCCGGCCAGCCCGGGCTCCGAGCTCGCGGTTTTCCTGCCCTGGCACCCTCCGACGGCCGGCACGGGTTTTTTTCCGGGATGTGCCCAAAAACGCCGCGGAAAAACTCGCTGCGGCTCCACAACATCTCCGCTGGCACCGGCTTCTCCACGGACCGCCGAGAGGAGCCGGAAAGTGCCGGATGCTCCCGCTTTCCCACTCCCGTTGGTTTTCCGAGCTGCTTCCGTGGCCCCGGCTGACCCCGGCGCCGCTCAGCTCCTGTCCTCGTTTAGCCCCGGGATAACTCTGGCAGCGCCCGGAATGCCAGGGCTGGATCCCCCCCCCGCATCTCTGCTTAACCCCCTTTTTTCCATGCATCCAGCCAGGACTCCGGAGAAAACCGGGATTTCTCCCCTGGGAAGCTTCCCCTTCCCATCTGGGGCTTCACGGGGGGAAAACCCAGCAGGAAAACGGTTTTCCTGGTCAAGCAGCTCCACGTGCCGGTGAAGCCGAGCCGACCCGGCAAGGAGAGGGCTGCGAAACCCCCTTCCTCCCCCTAAATCCCACTTTTTGCCCCCAAAAGCCACAGGGAGCCCCCGGCCGCTCGGGCAGGTCGTGCCGGCATCTGTTGTTAATCCCGTCCTGGCCGCGGTTCAAAGCGGAGCTGGAAAATTCCCAACCCGGCACGCAAGCGGCCGGCGGCCAAGAACGGAGCCCGTTCGGCGCGCGACGCCGCCGGCTCCTCCGCCCGGCTCAAAACACCGACTGCTTTGGCTTTTCCTTGTTTTTTTTTTTCCCGCCCCGTGCCAGCGTCGGAGCCTTCGGACGTGCCTGGAGCGGGGCCAACGCGTTGTTTTCCCGGGGGAGGAAAAAGCCGGAGGGGCCGGCCCGTCGCGCTCCGGGGAAGCGGAGCAATGGGAAAAGCGACCCATAAAAAGCCCCCGGTGCTGGGTTTTGTTGTTGTTTTTTTTTGCAGGAAAATGGCGAAAAGGGAAAGGTGGAAACACGGGAACGAGGTGACTCCGCGGAGGCTTTTCCCGCGGCCCGTTCCCACGGCGCACGTTCCCGGCGCGCATCCCAGCTGGCCAGGGCAGGAGGAAACGCTTCCCCGGGCGAGTGGCCCGCTCCGGGCTTGGCACAGGGAGCGAGGGAGGGGAAAAGCGCTAAAAAAAGGGAAAAAAAAGGCGGGGGGAAAAAACCACCCTTCAAAATCCGGCTGTTTTGGCTTCTCGGAGCGGCTTTTCCTTGGCCGGAGCCCGGCGGCCCCCCAGCTCCCGGGCCGGCTCCGCGGGGCGCTCCGGCAGAGCCGGTTTCGGGAGCAGCGCGGCGCCCGCCGGGGCGATTCCCACCCTTCCCTTGGGCACGAGGAGGGATTTTGCATTGCAAATGGCAGGGAGCAAAGGGCCGGGGCCGCGCTCCGAGCCCGGCGCGTCGCTCCGTTCTGGATGGAAAGGGGCCGCGCAGGAGCTTCCCGGGAAGAAGGTGCTGCCGGAGAGGGATGCCCCGTTCCCGAGCCGGCCTTGTCCCGCTCCCCGCCCAGCTTCGCCCCATTCCCACGCATCCATGTCGCCCCATTCCCAGTTTCTCTCCATTCCCAGTTTCGCCTCGTTCCCACGCACCGGTGCGGCCCCATTCCCACGAGGCGGCACTGCCCCATTCCCAGTTTTCCCTTGCACTGGTGCTGCCACATTCCCGTGTCCCGGTGTCGCCTGTTCCCACGTGCCAGTGCTGCCCCATCCCCAGACACCAGCATTGCCCCATTCCCCGTTTTTTTCCCCCATTCCGGCATATCGGCACCGCCTCTTTCCCATTTTTGCCCCATTCCTCTGCCCTGGCATTGCCCCATTCCTGTTTTTGCCCCATTCCCACATGTCGGCACCACCCTGTTCCCACACACCGGTGCTGCCCCATTCCCATATCCACCCCATTCCCAAGGGCCGGCGTCGCCTCAATCCCTCCTCACACACATTTTGGGGGGCCTTCCCCCCATTTGGAGGAGCGGGAATCCCGGGCAAAATCCCAGACGACCCCTCTCAAGCCGGGAAACACCCCAACCCGCCCGGTCCTCCGGGAAAAGCGCCGGGATCACCGGAGGTCCCTACCTGGGAGCACCGCGGGCTGCTCCGCGCTCCTCCGGCTCCTCCGACTCCGGCACGGAGCAGAGGGGAACGTGGAGCCGGCCTCTTCCTCCTCCTCCTCCTCCTCCTCCTGCTGCTGCCGGCAAGTGCCGACACGTCGGAGGCGGCGGCGCGGGCGGGAGCCGGGCGCTGCACCCGGA